CAATGATAAAGTGTAAACTATGACAGTACAAGGTATCGATTTGTTTAAATATGCTTTAATTAGACTATTTTTATGCTCATTTTGCAACAGCAATGTCCACTGATACTTGATTAAATCATTTTTTTGCGAATAGTTTAGCTACAACCAGGCTTATCGCATAAAATCACGCTAAAAAAGATCTGTAAGTCTTCCTAAACTTGGAGCTCAGGCTCTAAAAATTTGTAATTTACTCGGATATTTTTATTGGAATGAATATCAAGTTATGGTTTGAACTCACTGAAATGATGTATTTAAAAACATTGAATGAAACTTCTTAAACTGTTCATTATGATCTCCGTCATACTATGTTGTTAGCACACAATTTTTTACCCCTCTTGCATCATCGAGCAATATGTTGAGTTTTTTGTTGATGTATGACTTTTTCGCATTACAAATCTTACCACGTTCATGACAGCATATAAAAAATTCTCCAAAAATCCTTTATTACCACCTATAAATTTAGGTGCTTCATCATCATTTGCCAAAATACATAACCTCTTTTGCATACCTGATCGAATTCCCACTTTATAGTCTCTAGAGTTCGATATAGTACGATTCTGGCTAAATAATTTCCTATTATGGTTAGTTACATAATTGCCATTTAAGGGTTAACTACAGTATACATCTGTTAGGGCTGAATTCATTAAAGTGGATTTTAAGGTTTAGCACAATAGTTGAGAGTCTAGACTTGCTGACCACTCTAAGCAACAATGCAGGCATGTTCGGCATGCGATTCTCTCCCTCGAAATGCAAAATGATGCTTCAGGATTGGGTTGCATCGACACCCTAACTAGTGATAGGGAGTGAAGTAGTTGAGCGTGTCGACCGCTTCACTTATCTTGGAAGTCTCATCAGCCCTTGTGGTCTGGTGCGTGACGAAATCTCAGCACGGATACAAAAGGCTCGACTAGCTTTTGCCAACTTGCGTCATTTGTGGCGTATGTGAAATATCCGTCTATCAACCAAAGGACGTGTTTACTGCACAGCAGTTCGTTTCGTCCTACTTTATGACAGTGAAACAGGGCCAGTAAGAGTAGAGGATATTCGTAGGTTACTAGTATTTGATCATAGGTGTCTTCGGAACATTGCTCGTATATCCTGAGACCACCGAGTAACTAATGCAGTTGTCAGGAAACGGGTACTTGGTAAGGATGGCAAATCAATTGACGAAGTAGTGAAACTTAATCAGTTGAGATGGCTGGGACATGTGTTGCGCATGCCTGACCACCGACTGCCCCGACGCGCGATGTTTTATGGTGTAGGAGTAGGTTGGAAGAAATATAGGGGCGGCCAGACCGAAACATGGCAGAAATCCATGAAGTCACTGACAAGTGGACTGAGTCGTGTTGGTAGGTGTACACTACTTGGTTGGGGACCGCGAGATGATAGCAACCGATGGTTAGAGACCTTGAATGACATGGCTCAAAATCGTTTACAATGGCGCAGGTGCATCCACTCTTTGTGTTCTCTCAAACTATAATCTTCTGAATTCTTCATGTCCTTTATTTTCTTCCCGAATCTATTCCACTGGACTATACTCCTTAAATAACATCATCAAACCCTAAGATTCGCGATTACTACTTTTACTTTCACTACCTCTACCACTACGGGATTTGAATCGATAACTGAATCTCTGTGCTAATTTGGTGTGGCAACTCGAACTGATGTACGTACGTACGAAGTTCCACGTTGTTACTGACTGACTGACTGAGACTTGTGGTTTTACTAAATATCTTATAATAATTAATCCCAGGAGTGATGTCATTTAGCTAGTAAACTTAAAGAGGAAAGCTGGAATGTACGTTATCTTCTATAAAGATAATTACTTGGATCGGCTTTATTTTTTTATACGTATGATCTGCATGGTGTTTTTACGCTTCTATCCTAATTTCTGTTTTTACAGAAAATCCATTCTTAATCTAAATATCAACTTTTAAGAAAATGCTTTTTGTGTAAAATATTTTGACACGTTTCATTATATTTTCATAGCTTACTCTCCTACAATGCTGATGGATTTCAAAGTCATTTGGCAGATGTCTTTTCTCAGATGAATGATGTTGAAGTCCATCTAAACAACTTGGAAGCTTGGGCTGGCCTTCCTCCTGAATGCTTCACTTCAGTTAGTTTAAACTATGGTATCCCTGATCCGGATCAAGTATCTCATGAAGCCCAAACCCTAGTGGAGGCTATCCGACATTTACAAGCTGAATTGTGTGCTATGACTACAAAAAGTCAAACAAACAGCGCACACGCCACAGGGAATGTGCCATCAGTTCCTGCAGCTGAGAAAAGTGATAATAACCAGGATCGCACTACATCTTCAATTCTGAATACAGTTGCAAAACAAAGTCCTCTTCCATTAACGGTTATAAAATCTGAGACTACTCCTTATTCTATCCAGTCTAATCCATGTATATCGCCATCTGCTGGTGATCCGAATCAAGGATATGTAGATACATTGCCACAAGTACCATCTTTTCCATCAAATGAAGAAGGACGTAGTTTTCATCAACCAGGCAGTAGACCATACAGTTCCAATACTAATACAGCTACCCGTTCACCTAGTATCGATCGACGTCAACAATCTACTATTTCGACCGATGTTTACCGCGTGACATCTGGACACCATTCTTCATTTCCTTCACCTGTCCCACCACAACAATATGCTTCTGGTCAATACAATCAGTTCCCTCCTTCTAGCTCTGTTGAAACCGTATCTTCAAATCGTATGGCTTCCGAAACGTATTTGCAATACACATCACCAGGGTGTTTAACACGAGCAGCTGAACAGTACACACCAAGACCTCACTAATATTAATTTTGTTACTGTGAACTGAATAACTTTTACAGCCATGATAACATCATACAGAATACCAGTGTTAACTTTTGATCTGTGTACAACATTTGATCTCTTGTCAAACGTTTATATATTTCAACAATAGATAAGAAATATCAATAAACTCTTTTTACTAGTTTCTAGTTTTTTTAGAATGCATTTTTGTTGCTGAGTGGTAGTACAGGCAGCGATATCCACAGAAAATCCGTGAGGAAAGATTTTGTTTGTTTTGATTGTACTCAAATTATGTTAACTGCTTCTAAGCACATTGTACTTTTTTTCTACAAAATATGCATAATACACAACCAACAGGCATGAAAAAGTACTACAAATAATATTAAATGTAATTTTTCCTGTTGGGGGTGGTTACTGAACACATGAGAGTTTTTCATTACTGGGTGGCGAATTGTTAATAACCACTAAGGGTTGAATTCCACCTGAAGCTTTTCTTAGGTTACTGCCAGTCCTAAACCTGTCTAAGGGAGGAGGTTTGGGTATAAGGTTAGCAATCCCATCCTGTATGAAAGAACCTTGATAAAAAAAACTCTATCCAGATGAAGTCGTCCTAATCATTTCATGTTAGATTTCTTCGTTTCTCACTTCCCCAACTTCCATAGAGATCAGACGTATCTTTACTCCCAGTGTGGTTAAACTTACAGGTTGCAGTTTTCCATTAAAATTGTGGTAAGTTGTTTTTTAGGACAAGTGATCCATCAGTTGTTTTTTGTTTCTGTTGGTTTTTTTCCAGAGAATTCATTAACTCCGAATTGTTGTCACAAACTCTTGATGTTTAGCGAAGTTTCCAGGGCTTTCATGATAGAGTAAATGTGTTCTACGGCTTTTATGAATACTACTTTGCAATAACGTCGGTTACACTTCATTTTTAATTATCCTAGTATATCCCTAATATCGCCTCATAAAAATCAACTGATATAGAAAATGTTGTTACGTGGGAAAAGTGAACTTCAAAAGTGGTTCGTTTACCCACCAAGTTTGGAGTTCACAATGAAGCATAAAACCCAGTAAGACTAATATTAAGTTCCTCTTAATAACCATTAGATTAAACTTTGCTACCAAAAAGTGTTTAGTATAGGGATTAAGTAATTATTTATTTTAGTTAAAATGTCCCATCTGCAAGTTTATATTTACTTACTAAATGAACAATTATTGTGGAGGATAAAAATATTTCTAGAAGCAGACTTGGTTCATCAATTCAACAGCTACTTACAGATATCAGAAAGGTGAAGAAGACAGTCAGTTATTTGATCAGTAGTAGCCGCTAACAGTAAGTATTATAAAACAAATAGACATTGTGTACTACGTAGTTACCATGTAAACAGAGACAACTTATATTGAGAATGTTATCTATAGGTATGAGCAGCAAACTCCTGTCTTTTAAGTAGCTTTAGATTTAACTTAAAACTGTCTCGTTTGTTATAAACACAGACGAATAGCGGCTAATAGTGGAACCTAGGAGGTGCTTTACGTCCTACTGAGGACTTGCCAGCTGTAAACACCTGCATCCCAGAGTTGATATTCACTCCGGGACTCGAACCCAACACCGTTTGCCTCAAACGCCATCGCATTAATCACTTAGCTACTGAGTCCAGATGTCCACTGTCTTGTGCAATACGAATGAATTAGACTTCACCCCATCGTACTGGTCACTTATACGATGACGTACTTTTCAAACAACTATTCAGACTATATGGATATTTCAATCAAGTTTAAATTTTGACATCTTATCAGATAATCTTTGGGTTCTAGACATAATATTAAGTTATTATCTTATTAGTTTCAGATATCTCCAAAGCTTCACCTCTGTTGGTCAAACAGCTTCCCTCGTTGTGATAGTTTTCTAAGTTGCGTGAGAAAATGCAATAACTTATTCTCAATATCTCTAAGCACTTCTTCAAAATATCCATCAAACAACCAAAAGCATTGGGACAGACTTGGTGTGAGTCCTGATCAAAAACCAGGATGTTCTACTACTTATCGCGAGGTTGAAACCGGAGCGAGGAGTTTAATACGTGTGCCTAATCATCGGATTGCAGGTAAGACCAGTGGGAGTTCTTCAGAGGCGTATGTACAACCGAAACCACTTAATATACAATATAATCCACGTATGTATGATGGTGGCTTGCTTCCAAGATTAAATTTTACTGATAAACAAGTTGTTCTACCTGAGCATAAACCACGAGATTTTTGGGCCCCACATCGAGCACATTTTGGTCAAAATGACTACATTGGTATGTTTACCATTTTTTCCTACACATAACGTAGATTGTTGCATCTACTCACCATTTTCTTTGTATTTTCATAACAAAACAAACTTCGCTCTAATTCGTCACTGTTGTCACACAGATCTGTGTAACCTAGTTTTATGGGAATTGAAAATATCCTCAAGATAATGAAATTTTCAAAAAGACGAAGATATTAAATCAAAAATTTACAATTTATGGACTCAACAGTATGAGATACTCGCTTGCGATATCAGAAAATGGTTTCATCGATCATAACTTGTTTGGTATCGACGAATTTTGAATGCTGGATTTAGACGCAGAAAGTTTATTTTGACCAGGCTTTAACAGAACCTTACGGCTTTGTGCTTATTTTATAATGCTTTTGAGGTGAAACATTGTTGAAAAGTCCCAGGATCAATTTATTTCTTGTTGCCTAGTGACGTTCAATCGTTTTTTAGTTTTGTGGTGCGTATAATATTCACAGAAATATTAACATTCACGTCGTTTAACGAATATTCTGTGAACAGTTATTCTTGTATAAATATGTGCATATATTTAATTGTGAGGGATCGACACCGACAAACAGTCATATCAAAGCTGTACACTAATTCATCAAAGTCGTCAAACTTCATAACACTTAAGAAAATCTGGAGTCTTAAATTGGGAGCTCAGTAATTATTAAGACTAATAGAATATTCAGTATTTGGAAGTGAAAGCATGGATATATCTGCATCATTATTATGTTTATTTTTTAAAACTATATCTTAGTCCCCAACCAGAGAACCATGATCAAGAATTCTTCATTTCTATAGACTAGAATAACCAACCAGTGATCGATGACATGTTTTGTTATAACGACACTTAACTTTTTAACAGATTAATCCTGCTTTACCCAGAATCACACAGAATGAACAGTGACTATGCTTATGTAACACAACCTCTCTCACTACAGACATACAAATTTCTGAACCCTATCATCTACTTTACGTATTACTAATATCTCAACAAATGAACTTAGGCTCCATTCCGTCACTCACTTATGTATAAACCTAATTACTAAATGTTCAACACTGTGATTCAGATTTCTGCTATCATTCTTGTGATTTCGCTTTGTTTTAAAAGTTCATTATTAACAAGCCGACACATGTAACAATTTCGATTGACTAAAGTAGTAACTAAATTACCAAGTACGTAATTATGTACTAGACTTCAAACGTCAACCTTTTGGGCATGGGAATTAATGATATTAGCTAGCTATCAGAACCGGAGTAGAGTTTAAATCTGCAGCCTCTGTTTACAAGACTTAACGTCTTGTAATTATTACTCCACTGCATCACAATAAACTGTACAATTACTGGTATGTTTTACTCAGTCTTATCAAATACTTCGCATATATTTCCAAATGATTATACTAGTTTCCGTATTTATTAAATGGCATTATTGCTAGTAGGTTTGTTTTCCTCATATTTTAGATATTCTAGGCGACGGAAAAATAAAACCACGTGATTTTTATACTGGACCTCCATGGGTGTTAGGTGCACGAAATGAATATCAACGTGTATGCTCGCGACTTAACAATCCAGCTATCGTTGCATGGATGGAAGAGTTCGAACCATCTAAATTGACAGCTGAGTATAAATTGCAAAGATACTTGTTCAAGAAAGTGAACAAGCGTAAAAATATCAAATTTGAACGTTACCGTGATTCTCCTTAAGTTGTTTTGTCATTGATTCGACAATGTTTCGTTTTTGCCTGCTGTATACGTGTATATATGCATATGAATAAATAAATAAATCATTTATGATTTCATTTCACACTTCTTTAGGTAGAATTCTTGTTTAACTTTGTCGTTGACGTGCTTTTCTCGTTTCATTAGTAAAAAGCTACCTTGTGTAGGCTTTTCTAATATGTTTCCGGTTACCAATGATAATCCTTAAAATGTCTTGAAATATGTAGTAGTAAGTTGGTTGGTTATAGATTTCGTGACAAATAATGCGTGTGTACACAGATTTTATTCTTGTTGATAGCTCCTATAACTCGTTAATCTTCAGTACGGGCCGAATATTACTTACCAGAAATATATATCTACTTTTTCAATTGATTCGTTATAAAGCTGAGTTTGTAATTAAAATTTGAACTTACTATCCTGTACTCATCCTTTTTTCATAATTTAGTCCTTCCTGTATTGGATTGGTCCAAACACTAATACTGTCAACTGTAATACTCTCAATATTCTCTAAGGGATATGATGTTGAATCTTGAGATGTACATACTTTTCTTTGAGACTTTTAAACAAATTTTGTTAACAAGACCCGAACAGACAAAGTTATGACATATTAAATGAACTTCACAAGCAGATACGCTATGATTCCATTCGCGAAAGAATCCTATATGCTTCCTAATCAATGTTTATTTAAACTATACTTGCTCCTACAGTGTCAGTTACCTTTTACATATGGTGAACACTGTCCAAATGCTTAAGAATAACACCAAACAAGATGGTTAAACCGAGAAGTACATTTAGGGGAAGTAAATTATATATTCAACGTAAATTCATCATTCTTATTTACGAAATCTATAGCTAACTGCCAAATAGTGTTTTGCCTTTTCCAAAACCTAGCCAGTTTCGAAAAAAATCCTAAAGTTAGGATATAATGGTAATTGCGATACATCATTTTTTGGATTGATAACTGTAGAGCCTAGAGGCAAAGTTGTTCTAAAGATTATTCATTTTGTGATATTTACTTCACAGTGTTCTGTTAACATTCCATTCCTGCATTAAAATCTCGCCATTAAGGATAAGACTTAATAAAAATATGTGGCTGTTCAAATTACTTATCATAATGAGGATTCTGTATACTGTCAAGTATTCGTTTGATGGTAGAATAACCACTTAGAGATATCCATGATTTTTCATAACTCCATGCCCTATTTTACAAAACAAACGGATTTACTGGAGATGTGTTTTTTGTCTTAGTTTATACTTTTGAATATTTGTGTGGAACTTGACTGAACTTCATGAAAACTTAGAATTATTACCACGAGGAGAATAATTTAAGGTTCCACAAAATAGCACATCAGTTTCACGTTTCTATATCCCAATAGTATAATAAGAAAAAAAGATATCTAGATATAACTGTGAACAAAATAAAGATATATATATATATATATATATATATATATATATATATATATATGAACGAGAATTTAGACTTTTTAGAAGAGAATATAAAATTAATTCATTAGCACAATTTTCATAAGTTTCCCTTCACTTTTCCTACCACCGATATCTAAAACCTCATCTGGAAGATATCGGTTTTGTTTTTTAATAAAATAATAGAGAATACTTATATCTGGAGATGAAGATGTTCGAGGTGTTGTGATCTCTAACCTGAATTGTTTGATTGTAAAGTTTTCGTCGCTCTTCTTAGCAACATCTCTAGCACGTGCTCCAAAGAAAAGTGGTTCATACATTGTACTTTTAACTACTGACATATATGTTTGAACTCCACTTTACCTAATTCAGCTTGGCATTCCTGTAGTATCGACAGTTTTCATAGCCGACCACATGGACTTGTTGTTGTTGATAGTCACGCTAACAGAATGTTTAACATTAACCGGTTTAAATATACATGTCAATAACCATTAGATCCATCTATTGATGCCAAGTCAAATTCAATCACTCCAGATTTAACCAATTCATTGTCAAACGAATAAGTTTAATACTTTTTGGTGACACTTGACATTAATAACTACCGATTCAATCTCAATGGATTCCCTTCACTTTGTCTTGTTCCATACTTGTTGAGTAGTAGATCAGATCAACCTATATACGTTTTCATTTATTTTATTGAAAAACCCATTGAGAAATGAAATCAGGGCGGATCAATGCTCAAAACTGCAACACCAATGCTTTTCTCTAGAATTCGCTAAATTCATTAAGTCCAATGTTCCAAAATAGATACGCCACGCTCAAATATATGTCCATATGCCGCAACATTACTCCCACGATGTTGCCGCCTGAATGACAATCGTTCAATATTGAGATTTATTGACCATTGTTAGCTCTAAAAGTTGTAAAAACTGCTTGCACCAAAATTTGAGTGACCAGGGTGATGTTACGTTTTCAAAGATGTTGCAGATTAAAGTCCATGTGGTATTCGTTTCAGCAAGACTGGTATAGTTTTTGAGGCTAACATCAGCACCAACGTCACAACTGAGGTAGAAGACTACTGCTAGCGGCTTGCTATCGAGAGTGAACACAAATAGTCTTCTTTAATTTTTCACGAGTTAGACGTTTCTCGCACGTCAATGATATCTGTATTGGAAGTGCGTACTGGATGGAAATCGTTTAAAATTCTAAAGAAGCTGCAGGTATCGGCAACCGTTATTTGACCATCTAATAACATGGTCTTACTGAAAACTCAAATAATGCTCAACTGTGCCTCGACATTGCATGTATGCATTTAATTGCGAAACTCATAGGGACCACAATTCAATCTTTTTTATTGTATGTAAACTGTAATCCTTCTACATGTAGATAAGGATAATGGAAAAATTTGTTTTTTTTAATAGACATGGATATTTCTAATTGAAATAAATATCCACAAAACTTAAATAAGAGATGAGATTAATATGCCTTGGTGTATTACGAAATAATACAAAGTCAATTTTCTCTTAGTTTGGTTCATTGTTTAACTTTTCATCTCATCTTTTATACTGTACACATTGAACAATATCAGGTCTTCCACCACCTATCTCTTTCGACTTATGCTTCCTTCGAGTTCCCCGGGTATAAGCGAATGAACAATAGAATCTATTAAACTTTCTGATCAGTTTAGCTTCATATTCTTTTACATGTATTGTCATTTCAAAAGGGATTTCCTTATGTAGAAACTAGAGTCAAACGTTTTTTATTTTCGCTTGTTGAAAATCAACTATTTGTAGTATAATAAGCAAAGATGGTTGGTGGCTAGCAGTCCTAAACATCAATGGGAAGATTTAAACAAACAATACCAAATGTATTCCCAGTATATTTTTATAGCATTGAGACATATTTAGCACTTGAGGAAAACCAATCACATTTTCATGTGTCTTGTTGGGTGAAATCCTAGTTCTTCAGGTTAGTCACTTTGTAACCTTGAGATATTACGAAGGCACTGGTTCAATGGTTAAGAATCCGTATTAATGAATCTACGCCTGCCTACCTAATCTTTCACTCCGCTTGTGATCTGTGCTAAAGGAATCGTAACACATAGATTATCATTTATCCAATCATATATTCGATTAGGCAGTAGGTAACGAAACACGAAGTTAATATTTCTATTAACCTGCAACTTTGTCTGTATATACACATATACAATCATTTAGACCACAGATGTTAAAATCATCTCCACACCATTTTACTGCGTAAATATACAACTTTGTTTATTTAGTGACGTGCATGTATGCATTTGTGTTGTCCCATTGTATTGATTGGATTAAAAAATGTTATAGAAAAGATGGAAATGTTCTAATATTATTCATAAGCATAAAATATTCTGGGGATTTTCTTTTTTGAAAGATCCTTATGAGTTTAACCTGTAATATTCGTAACTTAGCTGGTCAAGTTAAGCATAAATTAATTGGTGAACGTAGGAGATCATCAAGTTCACATGAGTCAGATAATTCTGGGGAAATAAATGGTAAACATGGAAGACGTATCACTATGCAAAAACCTCACCAATATTCCATCCAATCTGAGCAAAAAGATCAACAACTACATCGAACAACAACGAATGCAGAAGTGTCATCACAAAAACACAAGATACATCAACAGAGCAATTTACTGCATGACAGTAATGATAATAATAATTCCCTACCATGTGACCTAAACAGTAGGTCAATACCACTTGAAACAAATAATCCAACCGATAAACGATTACAAAAACAGCAATGTCAACTAGTGAAATCGATTTGTTATTGTCAAGTTAACTCTACATGTTCAAATCAAACAAACTGTACAATATCAAATACTAATAACATGCAGTCTATATCTCCTTCATCATGTATGCATAATACACAAAAATTACAAAATATACCTACTCATAAAATATGTAAACAAATTACTCCTACGTCTAATCCATCACCTATTTTACAAGATCGTTTACAAGATTATTCAGAAAATGAAACAGATAATAATATTGTAACAGAAACATCAATACAACATCATTGTTGTAATCAAACTCCTAAATATTATCAACATCATTCTAAACAACGTGCACATGTTTCAAATAATGAACATTCAAGGCATGATATAACTCGGTATGCAGATAATATTTTAAAATTATTGAATACATTTAATTTAATTAATATTGAATTTAAATATGTATTCAGTATTAATTTTAAATCTATTTCACAATGTTATTTTACCTTAAAAATTGACTGATAAAGTTTCAACTTGAGATACAAAAAAAGTTGAACTTTCAAATCTAATTTGTTGACTCTTGAGTGTTTGATTAACCAGGGTATTCTATTTGAAATAGCAACGTAGTATCAAAAGTTAGCGTTATTCAAATCACCGTATCAAATGATTGTTTAACTCGGTTCACAACCGGTATATCTTAATGATTTAACTTAAGATGTAATCCAGTACTACTAATTTGTTATTTATTTCTAGCTGGAATTATCAATTAATGAATATAGGAAACAATTAATGGAAACTTAATAAATTCT